ACGGGGCACGGACTTCTAATTCACACACGTGATATATCATGTGACACCAGGAGCCCCACATTTCCGTGCGATGGGCAGACCGATGCCTGACAAGGGATAAGGTCTTGGAAGTTGGGCGACACAGCGGACGCGAGCTGGAGCCAATCGCTCTGGGCGGTTTAACGCGGCTTGCGACTGAGGCTTAATGGCCTAAGGGCAACAAAAAGTCAGCCAGAGCGGCAATGTCCGCCGCACGAGGCAGCCGGCCGAGCTGAGTCCTCCCCGTCTCAGCTTCCTTTCGCACCGGCCTGGAGGAACGCATCTTTTTCAGCGAAGCCCGACGTGCACCAAAACCCTGCTAACACCGCCACCTACCGGACGGAGCGCAGCAAAGGGAGGTAAACAGGTGGAAGCAGGGTTTTGGTGCGCGGAGGGCGTAGCTGTTCTTTACCCGGGTGATTTAACAGAAATGCTAACAAAGGTTTTTCCTATTTGGGACACAATTCGCACTTTAAATGGCTTTCGACCAATCCCCGCACGAAGATCCAACCATCCCGGTTCGAAATTGGTTAACTTTAATGCTAGACAATGCGGCGGGGGAAAGGGTTGTAGTGGCAGCCTTTCGCAGGAAAGAAGCCTTTCGCAAAAGAGAAGCCCTTCGCAAAAGAGAAGCCCTCCGCAGGAGAAAGGGGGGTCCAAAGGGTTTCCCCCGGAAATTACGCCCTAAACGTTAAAAATCTGAATGAAAAAAACGTAATTGGATTTGTTTGCTTAATTGCTTAAAGCGATTAAAGCGATTAATGCAAATTGGTAGCGGCAACGTTGTTGCAATTAATTTAATTAATTTTATCGTTAATTATCGCGAGATTTGGCTTGGTGTTTTGGCCTTTAATTAGTGTTTTGGGCGGGGCTTATATCCTAAAGCAATTAAATTTATTGCCGGATTTACTTTTTACCGCCCGTTTACCGTTTATTGCTGCTTAAAATAATGGGGCTAAAAGCACGTGCTTTCGTTCCGTGCCTTACTAAACGCTTACGATTAATGCCGCGCTTTTTTTTACCCCGCCAAAAAAAGTTGATTTTTATTTTGCAACTTTTTAACCGTTTGCATGCTTTTTCTTTCAAATTTCGACAGCGCCATTAAATTGTATTAAACCAAATCGATTAATAAAGTATTTAGGCTTTTCCGCGTTAATTAATGCTTTTTTTGACCGGATTGCTAATATATGCGGGGTGCAATTGCAGGTCGAAACCATGGCCGATCCTTTTAACCCTTCGGACGTTTCCGACCTTCCCGACCTTCCTTTTCCAACCGAAACCAAATAATGCCGCAATTGCGCACAGGTTAAGCTTATTAAGGAATTCCAGCCTTTTTAAAGTACCAAGCTTATTGTTAATTGCTTTGCGTATCGTTTTTAACAAAGGTCGTTGCGTAAAGCTGGCAATACTTTCCGTATTGCAATTGCCCGCGTCTTTTCGGCTTCCAAAAAAAATTGCCCAAAGGACCCAGCCTCGCTAAATCGAAATCGTCGGTTTTTTTTTCGGCAAAAAATTAATAAAAGTAACCGACCGTTTATTCCGGCGGGACGTTTACCGGCACCTGCCTTCCGGCCGGCATTTACGTCCCGGCCGGCACTTTTCCTGCTAAAGCCTTCGACCGTTCCCTTCTCCCGTAGCATGGATTTTAATGCTTTTACGTTTATACAACGGGCACAAAATCGTTGTGCTATTACCCAGCGCGAGCACCGAATCCATCGTCGTGCCGGTAAAGAAATTTTACTTACGCAATTATTAAAGCACTTTATAATAGGCTTAAACCTTTCCATTCTTTTCCCATTTAACCGTAAAAAGGTTTAACGTATGCTTGAAAAACGCCAACGTCGATAGGAACAAAAGCAAAAACAATTCGGTAATTTTTATAACGCTTTTTAACCTAAACCTCGCCGCTTTTAACTTATACCTCCTTTGCAAATACCGCTTGCACTTTTTTCTAAATATTCGTTCCGTACCAACGAAAATTCTTTTTACGACCTTTTCTTTTTACAAACGTTACTTTATGGCCTTTTTGCAAGCAATTAAACGGCTTAGCGAAGTGGTCGCCTTGTTACCTCCGAACTTAACGTCGAGGTTGGACAAAAAAACGAGCCCGTACTTTATTTAAAGGATCCCGAGCCTTTTTTTACAAGTAACCTCTAATAATAATGCGTTAACGACCATAAGCTTAAATGGATGCGCAACTTTCGTTAGTCCGTAAACGGCGATTTTATTTAAAAGAAATGCTTTCGCTATTAATGCAAATGGTTTAACCTTAACGTCCGCAATGGCGTTTGCGGTAATTGCCGTTGCAAAAACGCCGGCCAATTTGCTAACCTTTTTTTCCTATTTTTTAACGAAAATTACATGCATTTTAAGGACGTGCCGCAAAAGCTTAAAAACTTCGGCATTTTAACAAAAATCGAAAAGCAAATAATATCCAAGGTTTATATCCATATTAACGCTTTTTTTATGCATGGATAGCAATTAAAGTACCAAAATTATACCATTTATTTCCAGCGCGATATAAGCGCTTTGTACAACAAACTCCCCTTCCTTTTTCGGAACGTCGGCGTCGTTATTTTCCGCCCTATCCCTTTTGCTGGCGGCCTTTTTGCCGATAGCCTTGCAAACGCTAGTTAAGGTCGGGGTCGAAATCGAAGTCGAGGTCGAAAAGGCCGTGCAAATGCCGAACCTTTTGCTTTTATCGACAATAGCCATATGTTCCGTATTTTTAAAAAGGACTTTAAAGTCCGGCGCTACGTTATTTAGGCTTAGCTCGTTTGGCTAATAGCCAATTAACCTGGTTACGAAAACCTGGAAATTAACGAAAAAGTCCTAAGGTCCTTGCTTAAAAACGATAACGTGCGGGATTAGCTTGTACACGTTAACGTTAACGAAATTGACCATAAGGCTTTCCAGGCAACAATTCGCGCAAACGCAAAGGGTAAGCGAAAAAACGCTGTTGCTCCTAACCTTATAGGCAGCCAACGAGATTTCGACCGACTCCGGGCCCAAATACTCCGCGAGGCCGGCAACTTTGCCGCCGTCCCAATGCGTGTCGCGAGCTTTTAGCGCTTTCCAAAACGCCCCGTCGAAAATAACGTTTTTTTTTTGCCCGCCGTTAAATTTACGCTTATTAACGATTTTAACCATCGCGTTGTTTTAATAAGCCTGGCCTTTCTTTTACTAATGCCTTACGGAGCCGGTAAGTATACCCTCCTTCGCTTGCGGGAAGTTAATTTCGCAGCCTGGGTGCGATATGCTTTACATTGGCATAACGGGCGTTTTGCAAACCACCCCCGCTTTCGATACGTCGCCTTCAACGTTATAATAAGGGCCCAAATTAACAAAAAAAGCAACTTTTTCGTTAATCGTACTGGCACCCGTTACAAATTCGACAGCGTAAATTAGCTAAAAAAGGCCCTTAACGGGGATACCGCTAAGGGCCAAGCCTTGCTTAATTTTATCGTTCGCTCCGCTAATGTTTTAAAGGGTAAATTAATATCCTCCCATCCTTTTAGCATGTCCAAAGCAACACTTTTCCCTGTCATTACGTCATTTCCCTTTTATACCACGTCGCGGTTCGGTAAGTCCAAAAGTCTTTAAAGCGTTTTGGCGTGCACCGGTATTTCCTTTACCATTTGCGGGTAAATATTGTAAGCCCGCAACCATTAAAAGTACAAGCAAGCAGGCACAAAGCGGGCGTTGCCCTTTACACTACGCTGCGGTTCGGTAAGTCCAAAAATCTTCGAAGCGTTCTAGCGTATACCGGTGTTTTTTTTACCACCTGCGGGTAAATATTGTAAGCCCGCAACCATTAAAAGCATAGGCAAATAAGCACAAAACGGGCGTTCCCCTTCTTCCTCACTTCCTATCGAAGGATAAAGCTAACAATAACAAGCACCCGCCCTTTTTGGAAAGGGGAAAGCCGGAAGCTAAATGCTTTGTACTATGCTTTCGGCTATCCCTACCTTTTTATAACGTTTTTAGCGGCCAATTTGCACTAGCACTTTTTGGCCAAAGTTATACCTCGCTATTACGATTAAAAACGAGGCAATAATGCCGTTAAGCAAAGGATTGCCCGTAAAAACCTTTAAGCTTACCCCTAAATCGCCGCTTACCACTTCTATCGCCGGTTTAAATTCTTTTTCGAAAAGTACTTAATAAAGCGGTTTAAATTTTCGGGCTATTAATTCCGCTACAAATGGCAAGGCCGTAACAGCCCTTATATCCACGGCTTATTTTGGGTAACCAGCGCTCCCAACGTTACTTTAATAAAGGCAAAGGGAAGCAAAAAGCACTTTACAAAGTTTTGGGGCATGCACGTTACCGCCGAAAATATAAAGCCTGGCCGTACCTTACCGTTTAACGAGAACAATCCTTTAAAGTACGATATCGGCTTTGGACCCAACAACCTGCAACTTACCTTTAAATCCCTTTCCCGCATTACCAACCGAATTTAGCGGCATTAATGCAACGCTACGTACTATATGCGGAAAAAAAAGGTGCCAAAGCGCCGGCCCGTTGCTGTTGTTAAGGGTTAGCTTCCGGGCCTTGTTGCTAAGTATTAGCTTCCGGCCCCCGCTGCTACAAAAAGTTGTCGCTTTTATTACTTTCGTGCCCTTTACTTTACCGCCTACCTTACCAATACGCTTAACCCCAGCTACTTAACATACGACGGTGCCCGCCCCAACAATAAGCGTATAAATCAATATATACGCGGCGTAACCCTGGCGTGGACGGCTAATACGAATGCAAACCTTTGCATTTCGTTTAAAGGTATGCTTAATTATATCGCTAAATACGTTTTTAAAGCGGAAATACAAACGCTCCCTTTTAAAAAGATTATAAAAGGCGTTATTCCCAAAATTTCGCACACTTGGCTTTTAATGTTCTTCGTTGCCAAAATAATAAATAAGCTGGTAGCCGAACGAAATTGGCTTGTTATAAAAGTTTATTATTACCAATTCGGCCTTTCTTTAATCCAATGCAATTACGTTTTCCAATTGGTTAATTGCCGTTTTTTCGTTTTTAACCAAAACGCCGCCATAATTAGCGCTAATTACAATAAGGTTATTGCTATCCGCAAATTATACCAAAAGTATATAAACCGAAAGGATTGGCCAAGCTTTACATACTTTACGTTCTTTACCAAAATGAATTACCAGCGCGCCCCGTAATGTTTTTTTGGCCTTACCGTTAAACCTCGCGTGCTAAATTACTTTTTAAGGTACAAGCGTATCGATTCGGATAATAACCCCGAGCGAAAGGATTATTGCAAGGTTAAGCTAATGCTGTACCATCCCTATTTTACGCTTAACGCTTTTAAAACCGTGCTTAGCGAAACCTTTAACACCTTTTTTAAAGCATACGAATATTGCCGGGCCAATTGCTTTGCTTACAACGAGGATAATTATATTCGCATCGACGAAAATAAAGTTAAAAACGTTAACGATAAATTCAAAAATAACCCCGAAGCCGCCAATAACCCGGCGGATTTTATACGCGCCGATTGGGCTTATTTCGTTGCCGAACTCCTTTTCCAAAGTCCTAAGGTTAAAAATATTAAAATATTCGGCAACCGAAATTTTAACCTGGCAAAGGATTGGTTGCTTTACGTTGGCCGCTATGCAAATCTTTTTCCTTAGCGTTGGTCTTATTGGAAAAAACTCCGGCAAGGTAACCTGGAAATTAATAATGCCGTTTTGCTATCCGCTTTAAACTAGCTAAACCCGCAATAGCGATTATACCATAACTAAATCGTCGACCATTAAGTATTGGCCGTCGATTTTAACCGGTACTTTCCTACCCGCCGTCGTTAACGTAAGCATTAATTGCTCCTTTAAATTAATGGACGTGGAAGCACGGGCAAAACTTTTGTTTTTAATTTTATTTGCTTTAGTTTCCGCGCTTTTAATATTGCTCGTAGCATCGACCGAAATATTATTAAGCGTACAGCACCGACTGGCGTAATAATTAATGCTATTAACGGTATTACGATCCACTTTTTCCTTTGCTTGCCGGTTTAATCCTATGCCAACACCCTTATAAACGATTTTATTGCATAAAGGGCCGCCGAAATCCGCAACGGTATAAAAAACGTTAAGTACATTTTTTTGGACAAAAAGTCGATAATAAGTATCGTTATTTTAAACCTTATCGACCGCCGCATGCGTTAAATCTTTAAAAAGCCAAATTTCCCTTTTAGCGGCCGCAACTTCGTATTAATAAAAAACTTTTTCCAATTGCTTCCCGTTATGCAAAAAGCTTTGTACTTCCTTAAAACCAACCTCCGCACCTTCCCCGAAATGGCAAAACGCAACGCTTACTTCGAATTTAACAAAATTATCGAGCTTATTTAATTTATGCGCCAAATTGGAAACGATACCGACGCTTTTAACTTTCGTACCGCTTTCGAAGGTTTGCGAAATAATACGCTTTCCCGCCGTAATTGGAAGGTTTTATCGACCCGTATTTCCACCCGTTTCCGGCTTGCCGAAATTGCTTGCTTTAACAAGGTTATTCGCATTTATCCAACCAACGTACTAATTAAAAAGTACAATTTTACGCACTTGAAGCATTTCGATAAGCCTGTAATTTAGGTTCGTGCTAACAATACTGGCCAAAGGGTTAAGGCCGTTAAGTTCCGGAACGCCGGCAACTTGCACAATGCTTTACCTTTATGCATTGGGGCTCGAATAATAATTACGGACAACCTTTGGACCAAGGCTAGCCTCGTTAACGGTGCTTCCGGCCACGTTTGGAATATTGCTTGGGCCTTTCGCACTATCGACCTTCGCGTTACGCCTTCCTTTTTCTTTTTGGTGCAAATCGATAAATACGACGGCCTTTTTTGCTTTTTTAAAGACCCCAACATTCCGGCCGACGTTGTGCTTATTTTCCGAATTTTTCGAAACTTTTAAAAAAGAAATACGGTTTGCAACCGGGTACAATTCCTTGTTACGGTATCGTACGCCATCACTATCCACAAATTACAAAGCATAACGCTTAATATCGCTGTCCTCGATATTTTTGCTAAGGACTTCCAATTTGGCTTAACATACGTTGCTATTTCGAAGGTTAAATTTTTCGACGGTATTATGTTCGACGTGCCCTTTTCTTTAAACAATATCCGTATTACTAAGAATGCTATTACGCCCTTCCGTATCCAGGACTACGAGCGCCGCAAACGACGTAGCAAGGTCTTTAAGCCCTTTGCCACCCCTAACGTGCTTTTGTAAAAGGCTTCCAACGAAAAGGTTAAGGAGCTTATTTAACAATTGCACCAATCGTTTCCTTTTAAAGGTTTTAACTTTTAAGCTTAACGTAAAGTAATGTTAAGAGTTTAAATTCCAAAGGAAATAAAGCTATTCGCAATTGCAAAAAAGTAATCCCTTTCCTTTGCTTTTAAAAATAATTTCTAAAAAATAACGGTGCAGGGTAAGTGCAGGGTAAGTTAACTTTTAATTTAAAATTAAACCCAAAAAATAACGGTACAGGGTGGGTGCAAAGTAGGTTAACTTTTAACTTG